AATTTTTGGGTTAATGGAGTCATTTTCAGTCATCTGAACCATTGACTGAGCAAACTTGTGACGCGAGGTTCGAAACTCGACATGAACATCCTTGAGGAGACATGAAGATCTATGAAGACCATTTGAAAACTTTAAGAATCAATTTCCTTTGAGAAACGTCAAACCCTAATCGTTGACTTACTGCCTAGGAAGAGAATTTGTCTGATCAAACCTCTAAGCCAAATTGAGTATTCGAGAAGACCTAGGATAGTATCTTGAATAAAAAATGAGAGGGAAAATTTTGGGGTACAACACATTGATTTTTAGAATATTTATATTTTAGGTTTTTTACTATGTTATATTTTTATTATGCCTTGATTTTTAGGGTTGAGTCTGCACATTAGAAATTAAAATGGGTGTTGGGAAATAGTCTTGGTGACATGGTCAAATGTTGGAAAGCTATGAACAACAACTTGAGGTTACAAATAGGAAATATTCGTGCTTCGTTTCAAAAAAAATATTATGAAGTTGAGCACGCACACGTAAATCCATTTTATGGTAATCTGTGTGGTTCAGTATCTAGAGTTGCTTTGAGACGCATTGATGAAGAGTTATTGAGGGTTGATTATGTTGGAACTGTCAGACAAAGTTGTGGTTGTACTCATAGAACAAATTATGGGTTACATTATGCTTGTGAGTTAGGGAGATACATTATTGGATGTATACCTATACCAATACAAAGTGTTCATGTTCATTAGAGGAAGTTAAGTATGGAAGTTGAGTTGCAGCAAGATGTAGAAGATGGATCGGAGGTTGACATGAGTAGTGCAATGGAAGAATTATGGAGAAGGTTTATATCACTAGACGTTGTTGGTAAAAGAGCATTAAAAAGTAGGGTTTGTAAACTGACTTACCCCACAACAACTTCCTTGTGTCCACCGCCTAAGAAAATAAAAACCAAGGGAGGAGTTAAGAAGAAAAGGAAGAAATCGGTTGGATATGATGTTTTTAGGGACCCTTCACAGTATGAGTATGTTGAACAAGCATCTCAATCTTCACAAAGGTTATCTCAACCATCACAGAAACAATCTCAACCATCACAGAAGCAATCACAATCAAAGAAGCAGTCACAATCAAAGAAACAATACACTCTTCATTTTTTTAATTCATATTAGGCCATATATTCAAGAGATTGTGGATGTTGAAGCAGATGGTAATTGTGGATTTAGAGTCATTGCATCATTACAGGGTATAGTGAGGATGGTTGGCCAATGGTTCGTCGAGAGTTAGACATGGAAATAAGATACAAGAAGAGTTTGTATGAGAAATTATTCGGAGATCGGCTATCAGAAGTGAGAGCAAGATTGATGATAGAGCACACTGGTCGACAACTAAAGGAGAAATGGCTAACACTTCCTGACATGGGTTATCTGATAGTGAATCGCTATAATGTCATTCTTGTGCATTTAAGCAACATGTGTTTGACCTTTTTTCCTATGACAACCTCACTTTCACTTACTTCAAGTATTTGGTGTATTGGGTTAGTCAACAATGATCATTGGGTTCAGGTAATCAATTTACTTTACTTTATTTATTTAATATATGACATTATTTATTTTACTTTATTTCTGTAATATATGACATTACTTTATTTTACTTTATTTATTTAATATATGACATTACTTGATTTTACTTTATTTTTAATAATCAGGTTAACATGAAAGATTGGTTCCCCTTACCCCCGGTTTCGACAGATTGGAAGAAGTTTCGTGCACCGGATGCAACTTCTTAGATGTTAGGATTTGAGGAACGTCTACAGCTTTGGCTACAACTTTCGTCTGTGTTACCTTCATTTGTTAGTTTAGTATAAGTGTCTTATTATTATGTTATATTTTGTGTAATATTGACTGAACTTGTTATCACCAACATTCTTATATTATAACATATAATGAGCATTACAACACATAACGAAATACATAAAAACAACACATAACAAAATACATAAAAATAACACATAATGAAATACATAAAAAAATCTAGACGATGCAAGACGATTCTGAACGTTGCAACATCTTCATGACATCGTCGACAGATCTGGTAATTTGCGCTTCAAACTCAATTGGCTCTTTAGTTAACCTACAACAGTATAATTTCTACATGACCTTCATATCTTCATCACTATGCAACTCTACGACGTTGTAACTTACCCTTCCATCAACATCCATGTTCCAATTTTCTCGATATGAAATCTTCCTCACCATTCCGTTATCACTTTCAGGTAGCAACTCGTAGTCAAACTTTTCCTTCAATGACTTGAGGTTCAAAAATCCGTCTGGGATCCAAAAATTCACACATCTTGTATTCCATCGAAATTCACTTCGGCATCGCCCAAAATATTAGCAAAGGACATTCTGAAAATCTGATGTTTTTCTAAACAACACGTGACCCTTATTTATACTACTTTTGATTTATTCTAGACCACTCAAACTGTCGATCCAATCACAACCACTCAAAAATGTCGGTCTAATCACAATCACTTAAATTGTTGGTCCAATCACAACCACTCAAAAATGGTGGTCCAATCACAACCATTCAAATTGTCGGTCCAATTACAATCATTCAAATAACGTAATATATAACGTATAATGTTAATACAAATAACATAAATCATAAAAATATGTCATAAACATAAGTCATAACAAAAATCACTGTGAAAGAGAAATGTGTAACACCTCAAATAATTCTGCAAACTCAACCTCAATTTTTTGGAGGTACCGATGTAACAAGACAAAAACATGATCTCAATTAGGATCAGATGGCATTGTTTCATACTCAGGAACTGGCACCTATCTTGGTGCACTCCGAGGTGGCGGTACTAACTGAGGGTGCGACACACGATAATACCAATCCAAATAATCGGGATCAGCCTCTGATGCAAAGGTGACTTGTGATGTCGGATGGACCATCTCAACGACACTCTCAACGTAGCTAATCCAGTCAACATCGACATCAAGATCAGTAACAGCAGGAGGTAAGGGTGGAATATACTGCCTCATTCTAAACTACGGTAAACATCTATCAGGCAAGTAGAGAACAACAATACCTCTCCACTGTAGGCCCCCTCGGTACGGACTAATCTCGTCAAACGCGTACCACTCTCTATGATCCTCAAATGGGCGCCATGACATCAACCAATGTCAACACGTCCAAAATAGGTCGCAAAGCATCCACTTTCATGGCTCTTTGCTTGTACGACCATCTCATCGCTCTAGGAAGTCCATGGTTTTCAAATGGTGTCCATTTTTTTTCTTCTTCCAAGTGTCGGAAAATACTCGTGAATTCGGCATTGTTTCAATGTCAATAATTTTAATTAAAAAAATACTACATTAGTATAATAAATTATTTAATAAAGACATTTAATAAATACCTGATGAAGAGTGGAATATCTAGCAAGTTGTTTGCAACCAAACACACATGCATCTCCAAGAGCATTGTATAGAATATCCAATGCAGCTGCTCCCCAACTATAACGGTAAAGACCATTCAAGTCTCAAAATAACAGCAGATATTTTGCCTCGACAAGCGTAATGTCTTGTCATCAAAAATAGTGAAACCAACCAACAACAAATATGCTTTGATCGCATGTGCCCAAGAAGAAGCAACTTGATGCTCTACAAATATATCATACAACCACTCCAAATTATATGGGCACCTCTGCATGCTCGAACCTGACTCATTGTAGCCAACCTTGACGTGCTCAGGACTCCAGTAGACACTCCTTATGGGCAAGTGAAGCAGACACACAACGTTATCAAGAGTAATCGTCATCTCACCATATAGCATGTGAAATGAAGATGTCTCAGGATGTCATCTCTCTGCAAAAACTGAAAGCAGGTTCGGGTCTATCTTCGACAAACTAATTCTTTGAAGCGAAGTTAGACCATATCGTGTCACCCAATACTCAATATCTTTGAGGAGTTGCTGCGGAACCCAATCCTGCACCTTCACCCAATACTCAAACTAATTATATGGGCATTACATTTAAGCTCCTTCTTCGCAGCTCTCTCCTAAAAATAAAAATATACATATTAATAAACACAAATAAAAACTATAAATTTATTTAACATAAATTTTTCATTTACTTACCTGCCCATATCATAGACGTCGAGCACAATTATGCTCGTATCTAAGCAGGAGAGATAAGTCAGACGGTCCTCTCAAATATCCTTCAGACTCTTGTGGAGGTTATGAAGCGAATTCAGATGCACCATCATGCTCTACATACTCCACTTCCATCTGAACGCTTTTTCCGTGCCTCCAAAGAAGCCTACCGTCGAAACTTAATGTGCATATTCAGCAAAGCCAAAAAAAAAGGTAAAACAAAAACAAAAACCAAACTGAATTCTGATATACACATCGTTGAAAATTTTAGAAGACTTCTAAAAAAGTGTTATGGTGTCTTATTTTGTAAATTGAAACCGTTTTCAAAAGTGTTCCAAAATTAAAACTCAAAATGGAACACTTCTAAGAAGTGTTTATGTGAAGAGAATTTTTCGAATGAGTTACAAAAGTGTTCCAATTTGCTATAATTTTCAAAAGACTTACCTAAAGTGTTTTGGTATGCAAGTTTGTGAACTAGAAGACTTGACAAATGTATTCCAAGATGTATTCTGATTTAGAGTTTTTCGAAAGAGTTTCTGAATGTAAAAGTGAGAAGCGAAATTTTAAAAATTTAATTGTAGGAGTAGAGGTGCGAAGTAAAATTTTCTCAAATATAGCACATGCAACACTAACAATTTTTATTTATACAATGCATTGAATGCATCCAAAGTATAAGAAAAAAATTGATGCATCGTTACCAAAAATCATTTACTTAGCTTATGTGTTTTGGTATATTCCTTTAAATAAGTAAACAAAAAGTCCGCATATTATACAACTCAATAAGGCTTGAAATAACTAACAGGGACATCAAAACAGGGAAGATTTCATATCCTTGAATTAATAATATAAATGTTTTTCATCTAATTCTTTCTACCCTTAGTTTTCTTCTTGGAGACAACAACCCATCCATCATCTGCTGCTTCACCTGCAACCTCTGGCTGAGGCTCGTTAACTGTCTTGTTGGTGGAATTCAAGTTAGTTTCGGATTTTTGAATGTCCATATCCATGTTTGCTGAATTATCATCTCCAATGATGTCTTTGTCAGAATCATCATCATCGTTACCATTCACAACCTACACAACATGAAAAGGCTCAACGTCAATTCAATGAAATATCGTAACTGTTATAAAATCAAGGAGAAAAGTGTATCCATCAACCAAACATGATAAATAAACATACAGAGCAAATTTAAAATGAATATCATTTAGGCTCATGTAAAAGTTGATTGTATGAAAATCAATAACTTACACAATGTTGATTAAGTTCACAAATAGAACATTTCCATCTAATTAAAGATATTACGAGGGGTTGATCACTGAGATAAAATCATACTGAGAAGGAATAAGATGGCACAAATTATAATAAGATCAGAAAATTAGATCCTTCATGCATAATAAGCAACCCACCCCATCAACAATGTTCAATCCCAGGATCATGCAGTCTGTAAAGTTGATTATTTCTTTTTAACAAGGTGCAAAAGCAAAATAAATTCATACATTAAGATGGAATAAGATTGCACAAATTATAACAAGATCATAAAATTAAATCCTTAATAGGGAATAACTAACCCAATCAACAACGTTCAATCTCTCCCAGGATCATGCAGTCCCTAAAATTGATAGTTCTTTTTAATAAGGTGCAAAAGCAGTTTATGTCATTTCAGTATTTTACAAATATCACGTAGAAAGGATCATAACTTCCATCAGATTCCTCAAGTGGCTCTTTGGCCTAAAGTCTAAGTTTAAGAAAGTGTATGTCAAAGCTGCTAAAGGTGGTTGGCCAAAGCAAGGGAGAGAAACATGAGGAGATTTAGAAACATGTCAGCTAGAGGTGTAGATGCAATTAGACACATAGGACTATATAGGAGAGGGAATTGAGGTTAGGAGGAATATGGGAGGGACATCTGGTAGTACGGTATAAACCAGTGTTATCAAATATCCACCATGGAAGCTATGGGGATATACATGGCGGTTTTTGGGTTCACCGCAATGGTAAATATCGGCCGATATTCCGGGTTTTTCCACCATAATCCGCTATAACAGCACCAAAGCGGCTGGAATGGCGGGATTTTGGCTTTCCGCCATGGAAACCAACGACAACATTGTAGTCAATCCCAGATAGCGGCGCGGAGCGGCCAGCCCCAAAAGTGGGATAGTGGGATAGCGTATAGCGGGATGACCACAATTTAATCATTTTTTGGACAAATTACATATAGTAATTATAAACAAATCAAACCTAATAACTCAAATTACATAATGTAAAATTAAACAAATAAGTCAAGCTCCATAAAATATTCATAAATCAAAGCATAAAACTTAATTAAAAAAACACTAAAAAACAACCAAGTTTTAATCGAAACTCTTAATCAACATCAACAAGTCTTAATCGAAACATTACATCCAAAATTCAAACATAAATGCAGAAACGGTGATGAAAGAAGGTTAAGGTTTAGTCTCAACTCAATTTTGATTGAAAAACCCAAAAATTACCCTTAAAAAATTCAAAATTTAAGAAGCAATTTCGGTTTTTCAGAGGGGAAAAAGGATAGCGGGCCAGAAACCGCTCCGGGCCAGGAACCGCTTTGCTATCCCGCTATTTACCCTACAGTGGTCGCTGTAGTGTTCTGCACTGCTAAGGCTCTTCCCATAGCGGCAGGCCTCCGCTACACTATCCCGCAGCACCGCTATTGACTACTTTGCATAAAACATCATAGCTCTTCATCAAGGTCCTTCATGAAATAGTTTGGGACTATATTGACATTAGAGAAACTGGTCTAAACTATTGACTGGACAAACTGAATATAATTGTTAGACATAAGGGAAGTGAATAAACAAGTGCATGCTAGTCTCAGATTAAGTTCGCATAGTCATTTGGCCATTAGGGGAGACTAAAGAGAATATTCAGCTTTGACATGCCTTATCAGTTCAATGCTGGAAATACAAAGGAAAAAGAAAAAGCCTCCACCTTGCAAAATAATATCATAATTGATAAGATGATCTCACGAGGTAACCCAACCCAATTCACGAACAAAGAAAATCTCATAATTTTATCTGCAGTATACCAAACAATTAGAGACTCTGAAAGAAGACGACATTCTATGAAGGATATTTTAAATAGGAGTAATATGTCCTAAATAAAAGAAAGCTCAGTTTCACACCGAATCTTGAAAATATTAAGAAACTTAATTGGTTCAAAATTAAGCTCTTTAAGTGAGTTTAAGTGGCTTGATCAAGGTTGTGGATTGCTCTACAAGTTGTTTCAAACCTACTGCATTTTATTATCTTTTATTGTAAATCAGTTTAGACAGAAGTCTGTCTCTATTGGTGAAACAGTATGGCACGTGTATTTATCTGGGACTACTTAACATTAGTCAAACCTTGAAATTGCTTATATTATATTTAAATGGATTAAATATTACGCGAATAGGTTTGCACCATCATCTGAGCCATCACTCACTATCAAGATGTATGCGTGAACTCCTGAGCAACAAGCATTGTTGGGATATTCTACACAGAATGAAGGAACTTGTGATGAAGTACCAGAAAGTGGAGAAGCAGTGACTGTTGGGAGAACGAGGAGGCAACCGCATGGATCAGTTGGGGCAGCAGCTGGTCATCGAGCCATTGCATAGAGTAATAGAGCAGAAATTGCAGATGCCTTATTTCGATATACTGCACCAGAAGAGGTATATTATACTGAAATGTTTTTTACTACTAGGGTTGGTCTTTTTTTTGTTTGTTCGACCATTCAGTTTCATATTGCTTATTGCTCTTGAAAAATGATGACTTTCTCATCAACTAGTGGAACTTGTGCCGCTAAGTGTGAAACTCGAATGTCTGTCACCACCAGTATCCTTTTACTATTTTTCATACTGCCATTTGGATGCTCCTCACCAGTGTTTTTTACATATATATATTGAAGGGTTTCCTGTGTGTTTTAGGCTTTTAACAACAATGGCAATTAGATTTCAAATACTTGGCATAAGAATTCATATTCTGTACATGCAAGATACAACGAGGTTTGATGAAGAAAAACTATAATCATATGATACTGATTTTGTTTAAAGAACAACTAGCTTATTTACTCCTTTAATCCCTTTCTTGGTGGTATACTGGTATTAACCTCTTTTCTGAATCCATATTTGAATTATTTTTGGTTGAAACTGAAAGTTTTACTTCAGTCACTACATTGGGAAGTGAAGAATATCTTTTGATAACTGCATTTCAGACAAAATATCCTCAATTTGTTGGATGTTCAAGATTAAAATTAAACAGATGCCTACAGAATCGACTTGTAGCATAATTTTATTTTTATCAAGACTCGAAATATGATTGTTGAGAAGGAAAAAGTTGTAGATATTAGCTTCCTTTGGGATTTGGCCCTCTTAAAACTGGGGCGTGACTTAGAAGGTAAAGTGTAAAGCTGAAACTATTAACTGAATTAAAAATTAAGATTGTGATGAAAAGTTGTTTAAACAAACTACACTGATTTTTAATTAATGGTTATAACCCAGCATGTAGAAATTGGAAAACCTCAATCAATCAAAAACACATAAGTATAACACCATAAATCCCATATTGCAAATCTAATAATAAACAGTTCATATCCATTCCAAATGCATTGTGCCGAAACATACCTGTTGCACCTGAGAATGAGCAGGTGGATTACGACTAGCTTCTCGGAGACGCTCAACAGAACTAAAATCACCATCTAAGCATTCTTCATGCATAATCATCAGTTCTTCCGCTACCTCTTCAACGCTACCATCCTGAATCTCTAGATTGAAAGAAAGCATGCCTTCATCGAGTAAGGTTTCTAGGTCGTCAATATAAAGTGGCTCTGGGAAAAAATAACAAACAAAATTCAGAATGAAATTCAAATTGAGAAGAAGAAAAAAAGGAACTAAGCAATTAATTACTATTACTACCTTTGGATTGAGTGAACCAAGAAAGCAAATCGGTGGCGAATTGTTGAGCTTTGAGATGAGAGTCACGGCCGCCCCACTCGTTTTCGACGGCGGTTCGGAGAGCTGACCAGCGGTTCAAAATCAAACCAATTCCTTCGGTGAATACTTGCACTGATTGTCCTTGCAGCACTTTGGAACTCGCCATCTTGTTATCGTTGCGCGAAGACGGTGGGAGTTAGGGTTTATGTATCCGGCTCCTGTGTGAACGACCAAGGAGGGTTTGCACGAGAGAACGAATTTTGTTTCTGTGAAGAAAAACTGAGAAGCTCAAGTTTGGTTTAGGTCATCTGATTTTTTTATGGGTCGGTTTTTAATTGAACCGGCTTTGCTTCAAATTTTTACCGTAAATACTTTTTTTTAATATTTATTTATCTTATATATTAAACTTTGGTTTAAATTTCTTAAATAATTTTTAGAATCAAAATTAAAGTTGTTTTAATAATTGTATATTTTTATTTTATTTTATTTTATTAGTTTCAACTACTCTATTAAAGTTGTTAAGTCTTTTAAATAATTTTTGGAATCAATATTAAAGTTGTTTATTAATTGCATATTTTATTTTATTTTATCTTATTAATTTCAATGTGTTATTTGTCACGTTCTACTATAATTAGGATGTGTTTGTTTCAAAAGTTAGAAAAGATATTTTTAGGAATATGATTATGGGAATGCAAGATAATCATATTTGATTCAAGTTTAAAAAAATTATTTTTAGGAACTTTTTATTTCTAGAAAATTTATTTATACATGATTCTTTTAATTTTATTCTAAAGGCTTAAAGGGTGGGAATATAACATTTCTATGGGGAATAACTTTAACCAATTACAACTTCTCACAACTAATTTTTATTTTTATTTTTTTTATAATTTTAAATTACATAAATTTTACAATTATTCTTAAAAAAACTTTAATTTCTATCAAACACATAAGTAAGAATAATATTTCTGAAAATAATAATACTGCGAATATCATTCTAAAGAATATAATTTGAAATTTTGAAATAAACACACCCTTAAATTTAACTTCTTCTCTTTACAATTAAATAGAGGTGAATATAGAAAATTTGTTACTACTTACAAGTATATTTATTAGCACTTATAATTTTTTTGTCTCATTTGTGGTGATATTCAATATACATATATTTTAGATTTATTTCAATATTCTAAAAATATAATATAAATTTAATTAATTAAATACTATATTTTAATTTTATATTAATTAATTATTGAATGAAATAATTAACTTTTTGTGCATCGCACGCACGGGTCTAAATATTAGTCTTATATATTAAAGTTGTTAAGTCTCTTAAATAATTTTTAGAGCCAAATTTAAGGTTCTTTCAGTAATTGTATATTTTCATTTTATTTTATTTTATTATCTTATATATTAAAGTTGTTAAATCTCTCAAGCAACTTTTGAAACCAAAATTAAAGTTGTTTCAGTAATTATATATTTTCATTTTATTTTATTTTATTAGTTATTTATTAAAAATTAATTTTCTCCCACCAACTCTTAAATTTCTCCCTCTATGTTTATTTAATTGTTATTTTAATAATTTTTTATATTTTTTTTAATTTTAATTATTAAATTGTATAGTTTTTCTAACTTTCCTTACATTGTTTAAATTTAATTACTTTATTAACTCTTAATTTTTATTATTATTTTAATAATTTTTATATTCATTTAAATATTTTATTTATATTTACTAAAACTAATTTTTATCACTAACTCTTATATTAATTTAATTTTTTATTGTTAATTATTTAATAAATATTAACCTTCTCTTTCACTTAATTTTTATATAAAATATTTTTTATTTAGTAAAATTCAATATTAATTATATAATTTTTTTAATATAAGTAAATTATTTTTAATCTACGTTCTTAAAAATATAGTGGGGGTATTTTTAAATATCATGATATATATATATTTATATCATGATATCCAAATTATTTATTTTATTAAATTTAATAAATTTTGTTAGGTTCATTATAACTTCTCTAAAATATCATACTAAATTATGATAAATTTTAGTAAACGTAATAATTTAATATTTTATAAAAAATATATATTTATTCCCTAAAATATATATTAGGTTAATTATAACTTCCCTAAAATATTTTTCTAATAAGATTTGTAACTTTCACCCAATTATTTATTAATAATAATTAAATAATTAATTGAAAAAATTAAAATTAATAATAAATTTCACTAACTCCATCCCACTAATTCCATTTATAATATTTCTCATTTATTCATTAATAATTAATTAAAAAATTAATTCATTAAACCACCTCACTCACCACTAACTGTCAATTTCCTCAAATATAATCACTAATTTACTTTTATATAAATTCATCTCAATGAAATTTGTCCATTCAATTTTCTTTGAGTTGATTCATTCTTTATTATTTTGTTCTCCATACAATTTGTTTTTTTGCATATTTATTCTTTATTATTTTCTTTCTTTGATTATCTAATTAGTATTTACAACACAACTAACAAATTTGTACTATTCTTATTATATTTACAATATACTATTTATAACATTTATGTGATTTTCTTTGTTCAAGTTTATTCTTCATTATTTCTCTTTTTTTTTATTATTATTGTGATTTGTCTTTAATTTTTGAATTCTTGTTTATTCAATTCTTGATTTTATTGTTGCTTGCTAATTTTTATCATGTTTTTTTTTTAGGTACAAATTTTAAGTGACTTTTTGGTTAAGAAATTTCATTTCTTATTTCTTCAATTCTTATTTTTATTGTTTACTAATATTTTATCATTTTTTTTGCAGGTATAAATTTTAACTTATCAAACTTTACTTTTTAGTCAAGAAACTAGTATGATTTTCACGGGGTACCGATCTGACACTCTAATTGAGTTAAACAGAATTCATTTAAAAAGAAAAAATAATTAAATATTATAATATTATCTATAATAAAAAATAATTTAAATAAAAGAATAATTGAATTTATAAAAACATCGAGCGGGATAACTTTGAACTCCCACCTCAATGAGACACACGGATAATACATAAATCTTAATAGCAAAGAAGCAACCTATTCTTCAGAAACAAAAGGACACAGAAGTGACAAATGAAATCTTAGTTACAGATAATAAAGAAATGCTAAAGGTCAAATTTTGATATTTAAGTATCGTGAAATTAATATAATTCTTGTTACTATGTCTTGTATGAGTCAATCTACATGTCTGTCACACGGTGACATTTAAAGAATTTAAAGGAGTTTCCTGTACAGGCAAATGGAAGGAGACACAAGGCTGTTACTGAAGCTTTAATAGAAAAGAAGCAACCTACTCTTCAGAAACACAAGGATGCAGAAGTGACAAATGAAATCTTGCTACCACCATTAAATACATAAAATGTAATAACTGCAAGCTATAGAAACTGTTATTCCTAACAAATAGGCATGACTCAATCAAAGTCATGACTTTCACAACTAAAGCTTAAAACTAGGAGCCCACTAACAATATTTATTATTCTACTAATTATTAATTCAATGCAAATAATGACATATTAATCCAACAAATCCTCCCCTAAACTCAACAGGATCAATGTTGAGTTTATTAGTAGTCACAGCATCACATTTCAGTCATTAGCAGCACTTGAGCTCTCCTTCACCATATCAGTCCACTTCCCAATTCCTAGCCTGGTTCTTAGTGACTCAAAGGTCTCGAGTTTTACGGCCTTAGTCATAACATCAGCAATTTGAGCATATGTACTACAATACTCTAGCTTGATCACTCCTTCCTTGACTAAATCTCGAAGAAAATGAAACCACGCGTCTATATGCTTACTCCTTCCATGTAACACTGAGTTCTTGGACAATTTGATAGTTGAAACATTATCACACAGTATTGTTGTTTCACCTTCAACACTCTTCAGTCAGCCCATCTGTTCAAGCACATATCTTAGCCAAACACATTGGGTTGCACAAGAAGCTGCCGCCACGAACTCAACCTCGGTTGTTGATAAGGTGACTATAGGTTGTTTCTTTGACGACCATGAAACTGCAGCACCGGCTAAAAAGAAGACATAACCACTAGTGCTTCTCCTATCATCCACATCCCCCGCATAATCACTATCGGTGAATCCAATTAAAGACTTACATTGAACATCCCTTTTATACCAGATGCCAAACTCCATCGTTCCCTTTAGATACCGCAACACTCTTTTTGCTGCCTGCATATGAGCCCTTGTTGGCTTAGCCATATATCTACTTAGCAAACTAACCACATACATGACATCTGGTCTAATTGCTGTTAAGTACAGAAGACTACCAACCAATTGCTTATACTCAGTATCATTAACAAGATAACCATCACCTTCTAGAGTCAGTTTGCTTCCCGGAACAATAGGATTACGCACAGGATTGCTCTCCAAGAGTCCAAACTTCACCAACAGATCTCTTGTATACTTCTTTTGGCAAAGAAAAATTCCTTGCTCAGCTTGACCGACCTCAACTCCCAGGAAATACTTCATTCGGCCTAAGTCAGACATTTCAAACATAGCTTTCATGCTTTTCTTGAATGGTATCACCATTTGATTACTGCTGCTAGCATACATAAGATCGTCCACATATAAACTAACAAGCAGACAATTACCTTCTTTCCTTTGGATGAACAAAGTGTGTTCATATGGACACTTTTCAAAACCATCCTCCTTAAAATAATGTTCAATCTTGCTATACCATGCTCTTGGTGCTTGCTTTAATCCATATAAGGCCTTCTTCAATTTGTAAACTTTGTTCTCCTCCCCTGAGATCACAAAGCCTGGTGGTTGCGTTAAAAAAACTTCTTCTGTGAGATCACCATGGAGGAATGCACTTTTCACGTCTAATTGATAGACAGGCCACCCATGATGTGCTGCAAGAGCTAGCATGATCCTTATAGTATCCCACCTTGCAACCGGAGCAAACACTTCATCATAGTCTATTCCATGTTGTTGAGCATACCCCTTTGCCACTAGTCTTGCTTTGTATTTATCCACTTCACAATTCTCATTTAACTTGGTCTTATATACCCATTTAACACCAATTGGTGTTGCTCGTGAGGGTAAGCTAGTCAACTCCCAAGTGTCATTTTTTTGAATGGCTTGCATCTCCACATTCATGGTTGTTCTCCATTTTTCTGCCTTCACAACATCCTCAAAAGCAATAGGATCATCACTATCCACTTGCAATACATACTAATTTGTATCAAGCATGATGTTGCCCATTTCATATGCATCATGCCAACCTGGTTTTGTGCGAACTCTTGGACCCAATTCTGAACTTTGAGCATTTGAATCATTTATGATTTTCAGCTTCTGAACTCTGTGCACTTCCTGACTTGTTTGAGCTTAAATCAGTCGGTTCATCGCCCACTTTGGCTTTTGGTGGCACAATCTGAGCAGCCATAGGTGTTGTAACAGTAATAGGATCCTCAGATTCTTCTTCTAAATCATCTATATCCTCTTCATAACCTTCCCACGTGAGCTGAGTTTCAGTACCTGCTTTCTCAGAGTCCCATTCCCAACCTTTGAATTCATCAAATGTAACATCTCTACTCACCAGAACCTTTTGAGTCATTAGATTGTAGACTCTATAGGCTTTGGATTCATGGGATACTCCCAAGAATACACACTTGATACTTTTATCATCTAGTTTCTTTCTTTGTTGATTAGGTACATGGACATAGCTCATACAGCCAAATACTCTCAAATGATCTACTGCAGGCGGAAATCCACTCCAAAGCTCTTGTGGAGTTTTATCTTTACAAATAGTTGTGGGGCTTCTGTTTAGCACATAAGCTGCCCAATTAACTGTTTCACACCAGAATGTGCTTGGAACTTTTGTGTCAGCTAGCATACATCTCACCATATTTAGTAATGTTCTGTTTTTTCGCTCGGCAACTCCGTTTTGCTGGGGTGTTAGAGTTGCAGTTAACTGCCTCCTTATCCCATGCTCTTCACAAAACAGTTTGAACTCAGTGGATAGGAACTCTCCTCCCCTATCTGTTCTTAAGCTCACAATCACATCACTGGACTCCTTTTCAACCTGAGCTTTGAATTTTTTAAATACACCAAATGCCTCTGATTTGGATTTCAAGAAGTAAACCCATAATTTCCTGCTAAAATCATCTATCAGAGTGAAGATATACCTGTTACCACTTTGAGAAGATGGGGTGATCGGTCCACACAAGTCAGCATGTATAAGTTGAAGTCTTGTGGTGGTGTGCCATAAGCTTTTCTTTGGAAATGATTTTCGGTGCTGTTTTCCCACCAAACATATAGTGCACGCTCTATCTTCATCCCGAGCCTTAAACTTAGGTAGACCCTTTACCATTTCTGACTTCTGAAGCGTCTCCAACCCCTGATGGTGAAGGTGGCCAAATCTCCTATGCCATAGATTCAGATCGTTCTTTCCAGCTTTGGTGGTGTTCAAGCACTGTACTTCTCCTGAGTCAGATGCAACTTGAGGAGTAGCATGTAAAATAAACATCTTGTTGCTCTTCATTTGAGTTTGGAAAAGAAACCCCTTTGTATTATGAAATATCTTGCAAGAACTATCCCTGAGAAGAAAAACTAGGTCCTTTTCGAGCATTTGACCCATGCTAAGCAGGTTGTTAGTCAATCCAGGGACAAAAAAACATCTTGTACCTTCAATGGAATATGATTAACACGCATATTGACACTCCCTTTTCCTTGGACTTGTAGTCTCATACCATTCCCTAGTTTTACAATGCAGGTGAAGGAACGGTCAAGGCTAGAGAACCACTTCATATCTCCACTCATATGATTACTATATCCCGAGTCCAGGAACCACCATGATTCATCTTTATCTGCCGAACCATGAAAAGTTATAAAGTTGTTAAATTCTACCACATCAGAATCAACAGATGCCATAAGGAGCATCTCCTCATGTGTTGTATCATGGCCATCAGTGTAATGAGCCTGATAGGTCCTTTCAGGACATTCATTCTTGAAATGTCCTAACTTGTGACAACGATAGCACTCCACCGTTTCTCTATTCCATAATTGACCTCGACCCCTGCCCCGTCCTGGATATCCACTTCTCCCACGTCCACGACCTCGATGCGCATCAAGTCCAACCTTCAAGGCTTGATCTTCAAGAGACACATTCCTTGTAAACTTTTGTTCATGTACAAGAAGTGAACTCTGCAATTGATCAACAGTCATGACATCAATATCATGAGACTCCTCAATCGAGCAGACAATGTAATTGAATCGCTCAGTGAGAGTCCTTAAGATTTTCTCAACGATTTTTACATCTGTTATCAGCTCCCCGCAGTTGCGCACGGCATTAGACACAACCATCACTCTCCCAAAGTAATCGTTGATCGATTCCCCTTCTTTCATTTCCAGCACTTCAAACTCTCGTCTGAGAGCTTGCAACTGTGCCCTCTTTACCCGAGCACTTCCTTGGAACTTCGTCTTCATGGAATCCCATAACTCTTTAGCAGTTGCCTTTTGAGATATTATCTTCAATATCGTCTTATCAATACTGCTAAACAGATAATTCTTGGCCTTGAAGTCCTTTAGCCTCATTTCTTCATGGGTCTTCTTTGCATCAGCAGACAATGCCACACTAGAAGCAGTTTCTGTAAACCCTATGTCCACCACAGTCCAATATTCCTTTGACCGTAATAGATTCTCCATCAGAAGACTCCAATGATCATAGTCACCGTCGAACTTGGGAATGCATGCCCTCACAAAGTTTTCATCACCCATGATCACACTAAATTAATCCTCACACACTCTTGTGTTTTTGCACTCACCAGAGAGAACTCTCACTCTCACCGTGTGTTTCTCAAACCCAGATTCACTCAATGATCGAAAGTTTTGCTAAAGCTCTGATACCAGAATGTTAACTGAGCAAAACGAGATAATGTTTATTGAATTGAAACAACCGTTAAATACATAAAATGTAATAACTGCAAGCTATAGAAACTACTATTCCTAACAAATAGGCATGACTCAATCAAAGCCATGACTTTCACAACTAAAGCTTAAAACTAGGAGCCCACTAACTATTTATTATTCTATTAATTATTAATTCAATGCAAATAATGACATATTAATCCAACAACCACTGCTGAGTTATTGTTTTAATCTGTGTAAAAAAGTTAACCTATACCTTACCTGTAATTCAACAAGCATAATATCAAGTTCAAATCAAACAATATAGCCTATATCATAAGAAAAATGTAACTCTTTAACAATGCAAGTGATAAATGATTGCATAAGAGTCAAATTTTTGAATATATCACTCTACCATAGAAATTTAGATTGCCGGCAAATGACGCCTTATTGCCAGTAAATGAGAAAGTCTGCGATATAGTCAAAACATTAAGTACATTGAACTACTACTATTTTAGACAATCGAATAGATTATAGTCTATAGGAACTTAGCTGAAGACACATATCATAGGCTTTTTCCAAAAGCTCTCTCATACAGCCACATAAGCGTTTATGCCAGTAGATAAACTTGTCTCGTTGTTGGGACAGATTTTAGGATCAAAATTTGATCCAGAAGGAGAATATGTAAGGCAAAGGGCTACCCAAGTTAGCAAGAATGTCGACTGAGTGGATTCATCATCCTTGGAATGCACCACATATGATATGTTTAGGAACTAGCAAATGTTGCGACATAAAGCCGAAACCAACGTCGACATAAAACAGAATTAAAGTGATATAATTTAGAATTACATTTAGATAATTTAAAGCCAATCCTCTTATACATAGCAGAAACATAAAATAACAATTCATAACATTACTATTTTTTTAGCTTTATTGTTGGTTTTTGACGATTTTGACACATGGAGAGCACAAATATCAATGAAAGAATTTAATATTCCATATATGAAGTCACATTAGCAATGAAAACGCTCACACCAGCTGAAAACATAACCGTCTGGTTGTTTTACAAAAGCTTCAACTTCCTCCACCTCAAATTATAAATCCATACCTAGCATTGAGCATGAGACACAATAACATAACCACATTACATACTCGCTAGCAACATGTCTTTACATCAGCTTTGGAAGCACCTGTGTGTTCAAAGAACAGGTATTGTCATTGCTGTAGAAACTACCATGCTCTAATGCATGTATTGGCGGTGTTGTAGCTTCACATTCTATGTCACAAGTATTTAATTCAAAAGACAATAATTTCCTTTCATTTGGCAATGAACACTGAGAACCTGAACTATTGCAACTTTCAACAAGTTTGTCAACAGTCTTTCCTTCAACGTTCCCAGTAGAAGTGTTCTCCTTAGTAGGTCTATTAAGAGAACAACTAATGCTTGAATATGAAGCAAAGGTGTTATTACCAATTGAATCATCATGTTTGACATTCTGAATGGTAGAACTATCAAAATACCCATCACATATTGACACCTCACGTTTAGAAATAATAGTGGCAGAGGCAGCATGCATAATACATGTACAGTATTCCAATATCCTCGACTGCATCTTCGTCATTATTGATAACTTCCAAAACCATGTGAGGTAATGCTCGTGCAACATCTTGGCAAGCTTGATCTGTCAATTTACAGGACGACAACTAAAGGAACCTCATGTTATAGCAATGATGCAAACCCAATCGCAAAGCTCCATCCCCGAATGGACTGTCCCTGATTTTAAGTTTCTACAGATTAGGCACCCTTCGAGTACATACTTGAGGCATGTGTCAGTGTCTCCGGCAAAGGCAACTGATAGTGTCCTGATCAATTTACCATATCTTCCAATGTATTTGAACGTGATCAGTCAGCATACCAGATACAGCAAGTGTGAGCTTCTTGCAGTTCATAACAATAGCACCAAAACCCTCATCCACAGGTTCTTGTGTCACAGCATCATGATGATGCACCCCAATTATACAAAGAAAAAACACCACAAGATTTGGACAGTTCTTCGACATTGCAACCACAGTTGTGTTTGTCATCGTCTGACAGAAAAACAAAATTGATTCTAATTTTCTACAACCCTGTGAAATGGCTTCAAAATCAACCTGAGAAACATGACCCCCAGTTTCGTCCCTCGCATCCACGGTAGAAGCTTGAAGCTCATGCAAGTCATTGCAAGTTGCAGCCACTTTCAGAAAGGCCTTCAAGGCGGAAACTTGGGGAGCAAGTGCGTTGAGAGCGTACACGGCAGCAGCACTAGCAACGCCCAAAGAAACATGACCTCTAACTGCTGCATTTTGACTTTAACCAAACTTGGAATCGAGATGAACTCAACGGCTACAATGCTAGTAATAACAACAGCAGATGTAGCAAGGAGGAGTGGCGATGATAACTTATCTACATTGTGAAACATATACTATTTATTAAGGTTTTTCAATAGCATATGCAACTGAATTTATTAAGATAATCAAGTAACCAAAATAAACTATCGTGAACGAAATGCCTTGGCAAAGCTCCGGGCGTCAAACAATAATATTTACAACCAACATAATCTGAAGTAGGAAGTATTACCAAATTCAAAACACTGAAACTTGAGCCACACAGAAATCTCATAAAGTATAGATTAAGACAATGTTTAAAAAGAGGTGCAAATCCTTTTTACCTCTGGTTGGTAATTGATGCCCAGCACCACTCCACTAACTCCAGCGACCTCAAGAGCCTCTATCTGAAAAGCAAGGAAAATAAAAAATTAAGAAAGTAAACTAATAAGATAGTTTATTATGTCATATTGAGGGGAATAGAAATAAAATTTGCACATATATACATGAAGCATGTTCATGCATGCACAAATAAAAAAGTGGTTTCACTAATGTATGAAACAAAGGAGTAAAATTTTTTTTGCTGGAAATGAAAAGGAGAAAACTTATCTTTTATTTTTCGTATCGATGTTGTGATCCTCTTTTCGTTTCGATTTGGCCGAGCATGTTTCACATTTGATGAACACCATGAGAGATTTGATTAGTTTCGTGAATCTCATTATTTCCTTATCCCAACATTCGATGTAGTAGAATACTCAATAGCGAATACTCAGTAGCAGGCCTTGACAGTCTCTAGCTAATGCAGTGCTTCGGATCCAGCCTCCCTATAATAGGGTCTGCTTACTGCACAAATCAGCAAAACCATGAGCATATGTTTTGGTTTACAATGACTATTCTAATCTCAAGAAAAAGTTCTCATTAAAGGAACTTTTGACAACTGAATTCCTTAATCAATATGAAACAACAACAACATCAAGGATAAGAATAACATAAGGGTAAGAAACTGAGAAATTTATAGTTTCCCTGCGTTGGAAACCACCGCGTCTCACTCAGTCATACCGCTGCACCACCGAAAATGTAGAAAATATTGGCCAATTATTTATTGTGCAACCATGCACTATCACATGAATCTACGATAATTCTTAACAACCGGAACTGCTGGGTTCTTAGGCAAAGAAGGTGTCATAAGACCTTGTGTACTCATAAAGCATATCACTTAACAGCGAGTCAGCCGGGTAGTATAGTTTTCATTAGACAGGGTAAATGATAAGGAGAGTGTCGAGGAAGATCATCTTTCCATTTCAATTTGAAGCAGAGAAGGGAAGATACAAAGGCATACCAAGTCCTCTGGCGCTTATAAAGCCTCGACCATAAATACGCTCATATCGTAAAATACTCTTCTCGCTATATTCAACTCTGTCTAAGAGCTTCTGGAATCCTCTATCTGCTTAAACATTTTCATAAATTCTTTTTAGACCTTATATTATTAAGAGACTGACAGTCTTCGAAGAGTCGAAACATACCAATTCCGAGGGAATACTTGCACCTGATTTTCTCTTGTTGCTCAACAATATTTGCCTCAATTAACATCAGTACTGAAACCATGCCAACTTCTCCACCCGAAAAGGATACCACAATTGGGTGGACCTGACTGGATTTATGAACCAACCAAATCGTAATCAATTATTGATCAAGTAAATCTGCAATTCTTAAACATAAATCGCTAATTGATTATGTCAGCTAGTCAAAGAATAACATACATTAGTTGCAAAGGCAAATGAAAGCTTTTTATGAAATCCTCGAATGAGGTACCACCAATATCCAATTTCAGTTCCAACTTTTGTTAATATTGTTAAATTGTAATATAATGTGTCGAAATTATGTGTCGAAAAGATTTGATTTGTTTTAGATTTAAATAGATTTGATTTAAGTCTAGAATAAATTAGATTTGATTTAATAACAAAAACATATTTTGGGCTTTGGGCTTATGGTGTAAGCTCAGTTATAAATAGAGGGAGTAACTCTTATTTTTGTAAGCAAGTCAAGCAAGTCATTCACAGTATTTTGCAGTTGCAAAGTGAATAAGAAAGTTTTCACAGTTTGTGAGCAGAGAGAAACTCTGCAGAAATTATTTGTTTTGTCTTCTTTTCTTTGTTTGTCTCATAATTAAATTGTCATTGTGGTAGAAATTCATCATAGACTTTGGTGGATTTCCAACAAATATAAGGATATTAAGAATTAAACTCAAACACTTGCAAGAAAATTACCAACGTCTGTAGTTTACAACATTGCTACCATTGATCCCAGGCTCCCAAAGCTAAACTTGCTCTTTTCAAATTCAGGAACCAGAATATGGTTTGGAAGAATGAGTTGATGGAGAGTCTTCTTCGTGCCAAAGGTCTATGTACCATGATTGAAATTGGTTTCCAGGAACCTATTGAAATGATTGTGCTCGCTAAAGGTTAGTGATTTAGAATCTGCAAAAGAAGCTTGGGAAATCCTTGAGAAGTCTTTTGGAGGCGCTGAGAAAGTGAAAGAAGTGAGGTTACAAACTCACAAAAGGACCTATGAACTGCTTCAGATGGAAGACAATGAAAGCATATCTGATTTCTTCACTAGAGTTACAGAACTAGTAAATCAAATCAAGATATGTGGAGAAGCGTTAACAACAAGAGCTGTTGTGTCGAAGATCTTGAGATATTTAGCTCCTAAGTTCGACCACATAGTGGTGGCGATAGAAGAGGGAAAAAAAATTTCGAAATTGACAAAGGAAGAGCTTTAAGGGACACTTGAATCTCATGAACAAAGAATGAACGAAAGAGCTGCAGGCAAATCGAAGAGTGATGTGGCCTTGCACGTACATTTAGCAAAAGAGACCAAAGGCAAAGGAAAGTGTTTCGGTAGAGGTAGAGGTGGCTACAACAAATCGAATGGTAGAGGAAACCAAATTGAAGGAAACATGTCGAATCAAAGAAGACCATATCAAGGCAACCAAAGAGGTGGTGTTGCAAATAGAGGAAGAGGTGGTGGTCGAAAATCTGATAAGAGTCACATTCAATGTTACAATTATCAGAAGTATGGTCACTATTCGAGTGATTATCCAGAAAAATGAAAGAATCAAGAAAGTGATGCAAAGCTTGCAAAATATGAATAAGAAGAAGAGATGATGCTGATGGTCACAACAAGAGATGAAGATAGATTCAAAGACCAATGGTACTTGGATTCAGGATGTTCATCACATATGTCTGGAAGGAAAGACTGGTTCGTCAATATAAAGCCCTCAAAGAAAAATATGGTAAAATTTGCAAATGACAATACCCTAGCAGCTGAAGGTATTGGTGATGTTATGATTATGAGGAAAGATGGCGAAAGGTCAGTAATCTCCAATGTGTTGTACATACCAGGCATGAAGAGCAATTTGCTCAGTATAGGGCAGTTGGTCAAAAAGAATTATAAAGTGTCAATCAATGATAAGATGATGAGAGTCATTGATGCAAATGGGAGATTAATCTTGAAGGCTCCTATGTCTCAGAATCGAACCTTCAAGATTGAACTAAATGTGATGGAGCACAAGTGCCTTTCGACTGCAGCTAGCAGAGATGAATGGATATGGCATTATAGACTAGGTCATCTCAACTTCAGAGACATCAGAGATTTGAAGAGAAAAAATATGGTTTCAAGATTGCCAGAAATTGACATTCCAAACGAGGTATGTGAGGAATGTGTGCAGGCGAAGCAACACAAGAATAGCTTCAGCAAGGATGCAGGAAGCAGATCGAAGGCTAGTCTTGAAGTCATATACTTTGATGTATGTGGACCAATCCAGGTGGATTCGATGGGAGGTAACAAATACTTTGTTATATTCATAGATGATTTCAGTCGAAAGCTATGGACTTACCTGATTAAGAAGAAAAGTGAAGTGATTGAAGTATTTACCAAGTTTAAGTCTATGGTCGAAAGACAAAGTGGTCGAAAGCTCAAAGTTTTAAGAATTGATGGTGGTGGAGAATATGTGTCGAACGACTTCGACAGATTATGTGAAAAGGAAGGGATTGTGCATGAGGTGGTGCCACCCCATACTCCACAACAAAATGGAATTGCAGAAAGGAAAAATTGAACCATCATGAATATGGTGAGAAGTATATTTAAAGGCAATAATTTACCTAAAGAGTTTTGGGGTGGAGTTATTTCGACTGCAACATACATTTTGAACATATGTCCTACAAAGAAGCTAAAAGGAATTACTCCAGAAGAATGTTGGTTTGGTGTGAAGCCTAGCTTGAGTCATCTGAAGGTATTTGGATCTATTGCACATAGACATGTGCCATATCAGTTGAGAAGAAAACTTGATGATAAGTCAAGTCAAATGATTCTAGTTGGATATCATTCGACAGAAGGCTACAAGTTGTTCGATCCAGTGAAAAAGCAGATTGTGATCAGCAGGGACGTGATCATAGATGAGTTTAAAGAATGGGATTAGATTGAAAATATCAAGAAAGATTCAGTGGGAATCCTTCTTGAAGAGCCAGAAACTCAAGTCGAAAGAGAAGTTCGACAAGAGGAACCATCAGATACACCAAGTACAAGCAGGCCTCAAAGAACAAGATGCATGCCTGCAAGATTGCAAGATTGTGTGATTACATCAGATGATGTAATAGATAATGAAGGTGAGCTGGTACATTATGCTTTCTATGCAGATATCGAACCCGTTAATGCAGCTGAAGCATTAAAGGATTCGAAGTGGGTGAAAGCAATGAACGAAGAAGTAAAGTCTATTGAAGACAACAACACTTGGTCACTTGTCAAATTGCCTCAAGGCAAGAAGGAAATTGATGTCAAGTGGGTATACAAAGTGAAAACGATTTCGAAAGGTGAAGTAACTCGACACAAAGCAAGACTTGTGGCGAAAGGATTTCTACAGAAAGAAGGAATAGACTTCGATGAAGTTTTTGCACTTGTTGCTAGGATCGAAACAATCAGGTTGGTTGTTGGTCTAGCAGAAATAAACAGTTGGCACATATGTCAGATGGACGTGAAGTGTGCATTCCTAAATGGACCCTTAGATGAAGAAGTCTATGTTAAAAAACCACTTGGGTTTGTGAAACATGACGAAGAAAGAAAGGTGTACAGGCTACATAAAGCCCTATATGGATTGAAACAAGCTCCAAGGGCTTGGAATAAGAAAATTGATAGTTTTCTAAGGGAGAAGGAATTTGTGAAGTGCACAACTGAACATGGAGTATATGTAAGAAGAAGCAAGAGTAAATTGCTTATACTATGTCTCTATGTAGATGATTTGTTGATAACAGAAAGCTGTAAAAGTGAGATCGAAGACTTCAAAGGTGATCTCAGCAAGGAATTCGAAATGTCTGATTTGGGTGAGATTTCATATTTCCTTGGTATCGAATTCTACAAAAGCAGTAGAGGTTTGATGATGCATCAAAGAAGATATGCAGGATAAATTCTCAAGAGGTTTGAGATGGAATAATGCAACTCAACTTCGACACCTGCAGAACCAAGACTGCAACTGTCGAAAGATGCAGATGAAAATGATGTTGATCCAACCCAATACAGAAGACTTATTGGATCATTGAGATACCTTTGTCATATAAGGCCTGACTTAGCATATAGTGTAGGTATGGTAAGTAGATTCATCCAGAAGCCAAAGTTATCACATCTAGCAGCAGTGAAGAGGATACTAAGGTATCTCAAAGGAACTTTCAATTATGGCATTTTTTTTCCTGCAGTTGATAAAGGAAAATAATGCAAGTTAGTGGGATACACTGATTCGAGTTGTGTAGTGATGCTGAAGATCGAAACCCAACAACAGGATATGTGTTTATGCTAGGTGGTGCATCAGTTGCTTGGAATTCAAGAAAGGAACCAGTAGTGGCATTATCATCATGCGAAGTAGAATACATAGTTGCTTCTCTTTGTGCATGTCAAGCAACTTGGATGGTGAACTTGGTCGAAGAGATAATAGGAAAAATCATGGAGAAATTACCATAAAGATAGACAGCATGTCAGCTATTAATCTGGCGAAGAACCCAGTAGCACATGATCGAAGTAAGCACATCGAAATGAGGTTCCATTATCTTCGAGAGTAGGTAGCAGATGGGAAGATGAATTTGGAACACTGCAGAACTGAGAATCAGATTGCAGACATCATGACAAAGGGAGTGCAAGTCGAAGTATTCAGAAATCTAAGAGCCATGATGAACATAGATAGTTTAGACACAATGAATTAGGTTGTGTGTTAAATTGTAATCCAATATGTCGAAACTATGTGTCGAAAAGATTTGATTTATTTTAGATTTAAATAGATTTGATTTAAGTCTAGAATAAATTAAATTTGATTTAGTAAAAAAAAGATATTTTGGGCTTTGGTCTTAGGGTGTAAGCTCAGTTATAAATAGAGGGAGTAACCCCTATTTTTGTAAGCAAGTCAAGCAAGTCATTCACGGTATTTTGCAGTTGCAAAGTGAATAAGAAAGTTTTCACAGTTTGTGAGCAGAGAGAAACTCTGCAGAAATTATTTGTCTTATCTTCTTTTCTTTGTTTGTCTCATAATTAAATTGTCATTGTGGTAGAAATTCATCATAGAC